AGATTCAACAGCCCTCATTACCAGTTCCTCCTCATCCATTGAGAGTCGGCTACCACCTGCCTGCTAGGGGGCAACCTCAGTGAACCACGAATGGAATGAATACCAGCCCAGAATGTCTCAGCTGCACTGACGACTAGAGAGCAATGGTTTTAGTGCAGTCTGAGTAAATGTTAGTCTCTTAGAAATTTAGGGAAGACATGACAAGGTTAGCTGAGGCCAGGGAATCTATTCTGATACTAAGGAGTAGTGAAAGCAGGGTAGCCACACGTGACTCTTTAACTAGGCGCAGCGGTTATGTCTGGGAAGCTGAGCCGAGATTCAGTGTCCCTTCAGCCAGCTGTCCATCACTGGAGCAAACACCTGAGATGACCAACGTAAAATTAGAAGAAGTATATTTGGTCTCGTAGGTTTCAGTTCATGGTCAGGTGGGCAACTGCTTTTAGCTCTCTGGTGAGGGTATCGGGTAGCAATGGTAGGGAGCTCACGTCAGAGTTAAACTGATCACTTCCACACTAGGAAATACAGGAGGTGGGAAGGGGCCATATCCCTTTCAAAGACCTGCTCAAATTTCCCAATGACCTCTCATTAGGTCCATCTCTTAAAGGCATAGTAGCACTCTGGGGGCCAAAGCCTTAGTTCATGAGACTTTGGGGGAACATGTAAGGTACATACTAGCAGAGGCTCATTTATAAAATAGCAAACGAGTGGTGGGCATAGGATGCATTTGTTACTTGGCCGCTTTATCCTAGATCGCATCTCTATCATTCATTCACTCATTCATTGATCTCACAAGTATTTCTTGTGAGATTCCTGAGTAATAAGTATTGTGACAACCATTTAAGGACTTAAATATTTTTCGCTCACACAGCTGAGAGTCTAGTGGAGAAATAACTGTACAAAAAATATGACCAACAATAACATGAGGGCTTAGAACTGAAGTTTGGAAAAGGAGAGATGATGCCATCATGTATTTTACTAAATCACTACAGGGGTAGAAGGAGGCCAGGGCAAAGTGTGAGGAGACCATGTGAGTGGGGGGGGGTAAATTCACTAACATGGCTGTGGGCATCAGAGGGTAGGTTAACCTAACCCCGCGTGTGCAGGCAGCGGCACAAAGGTTGAGTCCTTCTAGGAATTCCCACTTAGCCAATTTGGTGATTGGATGTGAATGAAAAGCAGACAAAGAGGATCCTAGATTTCTAACCGGGGACCCTTGAGAGCTAATTATATTATTTTCTTAGGTAGTGATTGCTGGAATGAAGGAAGACTTGGGGGCAAAGAAATTTAGTTTGGCATTGTCAGTTTGAAGGGATAGGATTTCGGAGAATGATCAGGCAGGGACAGAGAGGGAATTCCTAGACACCATGGTGATGGTGCAGGTGGACACTGAGGCCATGGGCTTGGGTGTGATTTTCTGGAGAATGAAGTCTCCAAGATGTGTGACACAGTCTAAGGGAGTCATTAGACTGAGAGAGAGAGTCTGTGGATTATGGCAGGAGACCCATCCTCCTGAAATACTCTTAGGACAAGTGTCAAAACAATGATGGCACCAGAGAGCCACATTATGGGGTTTTCTGTGTTCTTGTGTGGTCATTACTAACTGTGACAATTTAGATGTGTGAACATTAACTTCACTACCCTCTTCCTTCAGAGGGCCATTACCTGGTGCCCAACAAATCTTCTCAAGTTCCATTTTGTGTGAGAGATAAGACAAAAAATAATTTTGCATATTTTCTCTGAAAGAGGAGAGTACTTTGGGATTAAAAGTTTAGGTTGAAAATGTTGCATAGGTGCCAATGGCTACTCTTCATATGTGCTGAAGTAAAAGTAGAGATATTGACATAGGGATTCTGCTGGTGTGTGGTTTGTGCTGTTCCAATTGGCTATTTCCTGAGGTCACAAGGTGGGTCCAAAACAGACAGCACAAATATCTCAAGACCCATGAGCAAAGCAGATGTCAGGCTGGGTGCCTGGCTCTCTTTCTCTGGGTTTACTATAGCTCCTCCTATGTCCATCCTCTGGGCCCTGCCGTACTCTCTGTGTCCATGTCAGGGATGCTCAACATACAGTGTTCATGACTCAGAATGACCCCTGCCATATGTTTCCATTCTCATTTGACACTGAATTCCCTCTATTTTAGCACATACAAAAAAAACATGTCTGTTGACCCATTCCTATTTGAAGTCAATAGTCAAACTAAAATATTGATAATGTGTAGAAAAGCCATAGAGAGACATTTTGGTTCCCATAGATGTCTCTCTTCACTTGTTGATGTGAGCTCTTGTGGGCTTTTGGATCAAGGGCTGCTTAAGTGAAGGGATGTTCTTGGCTATCATCCAGCAATTGATTCCTCATTCAACAACTGTCTTAGCCTTCCTCTGCTGGAGTCACTGACAACTTCTAGGCTGTCTGAGCCAATATATGGAAGTAGGCCCAACTATGACCTTAGTGGGTTTGTTGGCTCTCTTAGGGCTGGTGTTGGTTGTGTGTGGAAAGGAGTGGTGAGGAGCCAGAGCCCTCAAGCATGGCATGTGGATCAAAGAGCTGCAGGACTCCATGCTGTGCCTGTGTTGATGGATTCTGGAGTCACTTCAGATCCGACTAAAAGGATGGCAGAAGAGTGTGGCTTTTGATAATCTAGGAGCCAAGAAGGTCTTCTGGATATGAACTCACATAGGACAGCAATTGTCCCCAGGTCCCCAGTTTGGTGAAGCTAACATATCCATTTTTTAAATGTTGGAAATTGAACTATGAACAGCAACAGGCTGAATAGAGAAGGGATCACTTCAGGGGAGAGGGAAAAATCAAAGAGAAGGGTGAAAGACTTCTCAGAACCAGCGGTAAGTCATGAACTCTGTAGGACAGATGTGTCTCTATGTCAATCAAACCCAGAATCTAAGCCACACACTCCAAATCCAAAACACCACGAAGTGTGCAGATTCTTTCTCATGTAGCCACTGCCTTGCTGTGGAACATCTTCCTGACGATTAAGGGAAAGGTAATATTTTAGACAGGGCCTTGTGTAACCCAGCATGACCTATAACTCACTCTACAGATAGAATGACCTTGAACTTCTGATCCTCCTGCCTCCACTTCCTGAGTCCTGGAACAGAAGGCTTACATCACCACATCAGGTTCATATGGTGTCCTGGATCAAGCCCATGGCTTTGGGCATGGCAGCCAAACTCTACCCATGGAGTTACAGTGTCATTCCAGTGAAAGCATTTTAAATAAGCAAGTAAACCAAGACCTCTTAAAACCCAATAGATTGCTGGTGACTTGAAGACATATGTGGTTGGCCATAGGTGTTCCTTGACTCTTGAAGTGAAAAATCATGGATGAGTAAGTGGTCAAGATGTCTGTGGGTACTCCAAAGTTTTCATCTTTTTGGATCTGCCTGTTTGGCACACTCTACTCTAGAATCCCCCACTCCCCACCCCTCAGTGGTTCTTTTGGGTCCCACAAGCTCTTGAGCTGTGATTAAGGACTGTCTAGACACAGCTTAAGAGGATGCCACGAGTGACCCTCATCTGGTTTGCATGCATGACTTCTCCAGGTGGAACCTGATCACTCAGACCTATTTCTCCAGCCACTTTAGAGGCTGCCTTGGGTTTCCGCCTCAGGAGCCTTCCTCACTGCTGCTCTGTGAAGAGGCCTCTTGATTTATTAATCAATTAATCAGTGCACGCCGAGGAGCTGCTCAGGGTAGTTAAACAGGGAAAGCAAAATGCTGGGGCCCATCATCCAGACAGATTGTGATTAGGACAAACCTCCCACTGACGATCTTCCTGCCCACCCCAGCTGCCCCGCCTTACCCCCCATACACGCCACTCAGTCCAGATGCGCCTCTGCTCCATAAAACTGACAGCGCTGTTCTGAAGGACATTTTTGTTGGTGTCCTAGAGGAAAATGACTCCTGAGATGAGCTTCATCTGTTACTCACAATAGCCGTTGAATTTTGCAAATTCTGCTAAGCCCAAAATATGCCGGGTGGTTCTGCTGTTACATGCATGGACCGTGCTGTCCTGGCCCACTTTCCCCACAGATGAAGTCATGGAGCTGGAAGGGTATTACATCAAGGACAGGGCATGGTGGCTGCATGAGTGAGTGCAATCCGTAAGGTGACTAAGGTCACGCAGATCTCCAGGGACACAAGGAACAGCACTGGGAAATATTCACATGCTCAGAGTTATTTCTTCATGTGATTCTATTTCTGCGCAAATTAAAGCACAGTGAATGACAGACAGCGTCTTCATTGTCCGCCACTTATCTTGGAGCGTAAGATATGGGATGGGGGTTGGGCAAAAGGCCTTGCTTCATAGCCCAGGCTAGCCTGGAATGGATAGCAATCCTTCTCAGCTCCCCTAGTGTTGGCATGATCCAAGAGCAGGTGTGAGCCACTACAGCTGGCTGAAGATTTTTAATAGTTTTAGGTGAGGTGTGTGGTGAAGGAAGCATCGTGGACTAGTCAGGAAAATGGACAGCACCTTCTGTGGCCCGTGAGGTGTGGGCAGAGGTGTGCTGACTGCTGGAGCAGGCTGAATCCTGGATCTAGAATCTATTTGGTTAGTCTTCTTCCCTGTGGCACTGACTTAGCATACATGTGGTTGAGGCCAAAGTTCAACAGAATAGACTCTCTGTTCTCAGTCACAAGTGACGCTTGCCAGCTCTATGCTGCCCACAATGGGACACTCACCCCCACCATGCTGGACTAGGGAGGGTACAGGTTATCCGTAATTCTTTAGTGGACATACGAAAGTCTAAAATGTTCTCCTTTGACTTAGCAGCGGGGGTGCTTAGAGATTGTGTTTTGTTTAGTGTCTTTAAAGTTTTCAGCAACTAGCTCTTGCATGTGTCCACCATTTGATGCTCCTTTTGGTCTAGTTTCTTCCTGGTGGATACTGACCAAACAGTCAAACTCTTGGGCTGTAGCCATCTAAATTGGACTTGCTAGCATTAAGTTACACCCTGTTCCTTTTTTCTGCTTGTGTGTTCTCTAGGACCCTGCTTTCTCTGCGGTGATTCACGACAAACTCCAGGTCCCTAATACCATCAGGAAGTCATGGAATGACCGAGACAACCGCTGTGACATTTGTGCCACACACCTGAACCAGCTAAAGCAGGAAGCCATCCAAATGGTGCTCACCTTGGAGCAGGCCGCAGGCAGCGAGCACTATGACGCCTCTCCGGGCTCACCCCCTCCAATCTCCAGCATTCCCACACTGGTGGGGTCCCGGCACATGGGTGGTCTCCAGCAACCCAGGGAGTGGGCCTTTGTGCCTGCCCCCTATGCCACCTCTACCTACACAGGCCTTGTCAACAAACACAGTGGCAAACCCAACAGCCTTGGAGTCAGCAACGGCGCAGAAAAGAAGAGTGGATCCCCAACCCACCAGGCCAAGGTCAGCCTCCAGATGGCCACCAGTGCCAGCAATGGGAACATCCTTAATTCGGTGGCCATTCAGGCTCACCAATATCTGGATGGCACCTGGTCCCTTTCAAGAACCAATGGGGTTACCCTGTACCCCTACCAGGTAAGCACCTCTACAAGCAGGGAAATACAGGAGTTCCCTCCGCAGATATTGAAATGAGCGCACACTCCAGATCTCCTTGTGGAAGAGTCCAGGCAGCTGTAGGCTGTACCTACTTCTCCTTCAAGGAGCTCCCAGATCATCAGTGCTTCATGCCTCTGTGTAACCCCACAGAGTTCTCACCAGGGAACTCCAGCCAGGCCTGCATGCTTTGAGAGAATATCTGTCAAGTCTTAATTCCTTCTTGCTTAGCTAATATCTTCACCCCACCCCCAAGGGACCTTATTGGTCTTGGCAGCACTAAGGGCTTCCTAGCCACCATCTGGAAATTCTCAGACTGGCCCAATACCCTGACCTGAACACATACTAGCAAAACAACTTTACACAAAGGAATTGCCCTATACTAGACTCAAATCTCTCACTTTGGAATTGATAGAATATTGGTAATGGTTAAAATACACACACACACACACACACACATATATATCGCGTAATATATTGTCTAGCATATGCTATGGTATTGTGCCTCATAACAGGGGATTTAGAGATTGAGAAAAACAGGTGAGAGTGTTTTGACCCCAAGACTACAGTAGCTCCCTAAACTTGGGATTTTTAAAGCAGTTGATGAGTAGACAGAGCACCACTGTCCCCCTTGTCTGTACCTTCTGAAAGGAGTGGAGAAGCTCTCCTAACTTGGTGGTCCTTCACTTTTTTCTGTCTGAGACTCATCTTTATGCTGAACCTGGTCACAGAAGCCTTCCTCCCTTGGTTTCCTTCCTTCCCCTCTTTAGGTACTGAAATGAGTACTGCTCTTGGGTATATTTAGATGAAAGTAAGAGACCAGGTTTCTAATCTGAAAGAAAAGTGTTCTAATCTAGACATGGTAGTGCATCCCAGCACTAGGAAGACAGAAGAATCTAGAGTTTCAGACCAGTCTGGACTACAGAGCCAGCCTGAAGTACATAGTGAAGCCGCATCTCAAAAACAACAAAAACACCCCCCCCCAAAAAACACAAACCAAACCAACCAAACCAAAATATAGGAAAAATAATTTGCCCTGATTTTTTCCCTCTATTGCATGAGGGTCAGAGTCAACACATGTCTTCTGTCCTCTGTGCCTGCTGTGTAGGGCCGACTGGTACAGACTCTTGACTGTCTCTGATGTGGAGAAGTGGCCATAGTCATGGGGTATCAGGAAAGTCATTGGTATATCAGATAATCCTGAGGTCACTTCTCATCTGTGCTATGTCATATGGGGTGAATAGCCTTTCCTTACCATATAGGGACTCCGACTTCCTTCATCGAATGTGTCCCCATCTTTCAGGGGCCTCAAGAGTTGTCCACTAGATCTTGTGTAACCAGCCAAGAAATGAGGGTTTCGCCTGGGTATACAGTGCTTCCATTCATAATCTCCCGTCAAGAACCCAGCGCTCTAGCTCCACTTGCCTGCAGGAGAAACTGGGAAAGCCAACACACCCATGTGCCCAGAAGAAAAACAAACCAACTGAGAGTACACAGAGCAGTTTTGTGACACGCAGGAAAAACACAGGGAAGCATGAAATGAACTCAGTGTGACTGATAAAATTTGGGCGCCTTATAGTTCCCTAAGATAATTTTATTTAACCCTGCAGTGGGCCTGGAAGGCAAGGAGAAAATGGTAAGATCTTTTTGTAGTCAAGGAACATGATGCTTAGGGAATGGGAATGACTTATGACTGCACAGCCAATGACAGACCAACACTGGCTCCCCCACTCTGTTGCTTCCAGCCTTCCTGCCGTGGTCCTGTGAAATCCCCTTTGAGACAGGACAGCAAGGAAAACAGTTCTTATTTTGACCTGAAGGAGCTGAGGAGCTGTTTGACTTTTAGATGAAGTTATGTGTTGTTGATCTACATGTACCACATTATATCATGTATCTATATTTATATACTGTATAAATAGGATAAGGAACCAACGAGGAAGCCTTTAAGGAGACTGTGTGGCCTAGTCATGAAAGTCATGGCCTAGGAATCTGTGTTAGCTGTCTTTTCTTTTTGTTTTTAAATTTTGTGTTTATGAGTTTCTTGCTTGTATACATGTATGTGTATTGAGTGTGTGTCTGGTGTCAGTAGAAGTCAGAATAGGATGCCAGAGTCTCTAGAACTAGAGGTATAGACTGTTGTGAGCAACCATGGGAATGTTGGGACTTGAACCTGGGTCCTCTGCAAGAGCAGAAAGTGCTCTTAACCACTGAACCTTCTTCCCAACCTCTGTGATAGAATTCTATCATTACAACAGATATAAAAAGTGACGATATTAGAAACCCTGTCTCGAAAAACCAAAAAAAGTGATGATATTACAGGAGAAAGGTTTAGCACACTTACAATGTTTCATCAGCCAACCTCTGTATTAGTTACTTTCCTTACCACTCTGACAGAATGCGTGACAAAACAACTTTAAGGGAGGAAGTTTGAGTTCAGCTCCATAACTGTGTGGAAAGTATGGCGGTGAGAGGCTCCATGATAGCATGTGACTGAGACTGAGACTTCTTCCCTCCTCGAGTAGCGACAGAACCGAAGCAGAGAGGGGCATCCTGGTGTTAAGCCCACAGATATGCCCAGGGGCATGTTTCTCATGAGTTTCTAAACCCAGTTGTATTGACAATGGAAACTGGCCCTCAGAACCTCATAGCTTTTTGGCCTGTAGTGAGACAAACTGTATTACCTCATTGCTAGGAAAGAAGTAAGATGTGATGTCTGATGTTGACATGATATTTGGTAATGATGAATATGTACTCTATTAAGGCATTCTAATGAATATAACAAGCATCAATATTGGCATTTAGGTTTTGTGAGTATGAATCACATGCCCAGTTGAACAGCCTTCAACCCAGGTGGTATTTTTAGCATATCTCTGATAGTGCTAGCTGTATACTCATGTTACACAGACGATTCACATTTCACCTTCCACAGTAGAAGCCATCAAAGCCAGTATCTGGACTCAGCTGCTACACCAGAACTGATGGCACTGTGCTAGGAGTTGGGTGTGACTGCCTCCTTGGGTTGGAAACCCAGGTTCCTGTCCCGCGGCCGTCACAGTGAGGGAGGGGCCAGGCACACTGCACACGAGGTTGGCAGGTCAGTACAAGGGTGGAGTAATACTTGGCCATACTGAGACTATAAGGAAGAACTTGAATCCAGTTCTTGTTGTGGCTTAAAGTCAGATTCGAAGACAATGTGTACAAATTCCCATCTTGAAATTGTCCTGGGTACATTTTATTGGCAACTCCAGAGCTGACAGACTCATGTATTTCCCCTGAGTAATGATTAAAGGGACCAGAGGAAATCTCTCTGGGATAAAGAGATTTGGGGTCTGGCTATGAATCAGCGTCCCATGTGTTGTCACCCTGATGCCCCCGGGCGTGGGCTCCGGGTCTGGCAGACTGAGTGTCTCCTGTTGTGCACATCTCCCTGCAGTAAATATCATGTAGTTCGCAGTCTGGCCAGCTCGTCAGAGATGGTTGACTGCTCTGAAAGCCAGCCGCAGCTCCCCTGCTCACCCATACATACACCCTCTCCTCAGCTTCCCTGCTCACCCATACACCCTCTCCTCAGCTTCCTGCTCACCCATACAAACACCCACTTCCCTCTGTGGAGAGCATTTCCTCTGGCTTGGAGCCACAAGTGCCCCTTGAGCAGGGAAGCCTCTAGAGTTTAATGAGTGTCCAGGGTACCCCTCCCCTCCCAGGAGCCTGAGCCTGTGGAGATGTTATTAAAGGGAAAGCTGTCCTTCTGCACCTCCAATGCAGCAGGGATGACAAATGAGGACAGACTTCCAACAGGGAGCCTATATCCTTTGTGAAGTCCCTGCCTCACAAGAGGGAAACAAAAGGGTAATTTGGGAGGTACTTAGATTACCTCAGAAATGAGAAACAAAGTACAAATGCCATTTCTCATGAAATGTCTCTGAGAGTTGGTTTCATAGGAGAAGAGGAGGGGAACCCTTTGAAAGTGTGATTTCTCCTATTGACTTTCAGACAGACACTCGGTGTAATGTAAATATGCACAAATCAGAACTTGCTTACCAACCATTATTTGGCCACGAGAGTTTTGACACTAAAAGGACATGAGTGTATCAGTTCTCGTAGTCATCTGTAGGCTAATTATCTCCTTTTGACTGATAGCTGCTTTGGCCTGATTCACTCTCATGATGGTCAGTGACCACAGCAAAGACTGTTAATCTCAGGTTGTTAGCACTGGAACCCACTGTCTGCTCGTGTATTCTGTGTGTTAGACTGAGGAAGGCCCAGAGAGGCGTTTATGTCCAGGTTAGTCGTGGTTGCCGTACCCCGTGCAGGGCTTTGTGGACGTGATGAAGGAGCTTGAGGATTTAGTGGGGTCACAAGTATCCTGAGAAGAGAGAGACAGGAGGAGCAGAACCAGAGAGGGAGAACAGGGAAGATGCCATGCTCCTGGCCTTGGCCGCACGTCAAGGAGGACTGACATCTGTACAAGCTGGAAAAGGTGAGGAGGCAGATTTTCCACAGAGCCTCTGAAGGAACCAGTTCTTCAGGTAGTCTTAGACTTCTCCAGAACGTTAAGATAATGGGTTAGTGTGGGTTTGTCTCAGTGACCCTAAGGAGGTTCCTGAGGGCATTTGGTAACTAACAGCCTTGATAAGGGCAGACTTGCAGGATGCAGAAGGGTGTGGGCTTTTCATCCTGCATGCACGAGGAACTACCTCATCCAGTGGGTTGGCTGCCTCCACAGAATGAGAGGCTGCCCTTCCTCCCCGTTGGTTTTCAGTTGTCTCGAATTTCCCTATTGTTACAGAGTCATAACGACAAGCAGGCTGCAGGCACTCTTCACTGGCATCCGGGATGACCATTGTGTAAGTTTTCAGAGTGTTGAGGCTGCAGAAATGGTTGCAGGCTGGGGGCGGGGAGCCTTGACTGGGATGCACAGAAGGGTGCTTCTCTGTCAGGCTTTTGGGATCTCGTGGGGCTTCCCCACAAACTAATTCTTG